GGGGGGGCGCGGGGGGGGGGGCGGGGGCGGGGGGGGGGGGGGCCCCGGCCGGTCGGGGTGCGACGCCCGGCCTTTACCTCTCCATCGCCGCCACCGCCTCTTCCTCCTCCTCCTCCGGCCTCTCCACCAGGAGCTCGGCGGCCGGCCTCCCAGCGGTCAGGCGAGTCACCGCCCTCCGGAGCCCCAGGACCCGCCTCGACCCCATTTCGGTCGCGGCAGAGAAAGAGGCGCGCCGGGCCACGGGAAGGGCACGGCTACCCGGAGCGACCTCCCCCGAGGTGGACGGAGGGACCGCCGCCGCCGCCGCCGAGGACGCGGCGCCTCCGGCTCTCGCTCTCTCTCTCTCTCTCTCTCTCGCTCGCTCGCTCGCTCGCTCCGGGAAAGGGAAACGAGTAGGAACCGGAAACCGGCGAGGCGGGCTTCGACGCCTTTGCCCGCTCCCGGAAGTGTCGTAAACAAGTCCCGGAAGTGTCGTAAACAAGCTTGCCGGCTGCTGGTAGAGGTGAAGGGACTCTTCCGGGAAGGGACGCCTGGGCATGACCGGAGGAGGCGCAAGGAGAGCGAGAAAGAGGGAGCGAGAGCGAGAGAGCTCAGCCGGAGCGAAAGGGCTCCGTTGAGCCGGTAGAACCCCTTATTATGGGCTGCTTGGTTCCGCCGACCGGGTGGGAATCTTAGGGAACTCCTGCGATTCCACAGGTCAGTTATTTGAGTGGGAGAGAAATTGCTTGGAGAGGGCTGGAGGTTCTATTCTGCTAAAGGATGATACAGATCCTGACCACCTTGCTTTAGAACTTAAAAGGCTGTGCACCTAAAGCTATATTGTGCTGTGAATATTTTGCCTTGATCAATAAAAATATCTGAGATTTTGCTTAAAAGGGATATTTGCATTTTTTTTTACATGCAACTCTTGCTCTGGCCTAGTGGGATAATGGAAGTCAAGAACATCCAGTTTGGACTGTGCTTCTATTGCTGTTGTTTTGCTCTTTGAATACACACACACTTTTCTAAAGTACATTGTGTCTGCTATACTTGTATAAAAATATTATCTCATAGAACTCAGATAGTGGTACACTAGCAAGTGGGGGGGGGGGGGGAAGGCCTGTAAATTGCAATGGCAGGGCAAAAAGTATTAGTTGCCCCACCCTCTCTCACAATGAAGAAAATACAGTGGGTGGTCTTGAGATAGAGAACCAAATTGTATTTATTTATTTTAAAAAAATTTACTCCACTTTTCTCCTTAAAAAGGATCCAAGATAACTTATATCAGTAAAAGACAATACAGTATTTAAAAGTCAAAAACAATAACATACTAAAAAAGATCAAACAAGTACCACACTAAAATGGTAAACAAAATCAACACATACAAAAAAAAACCCCACATTTAAGGCAGTTGTGTGTGTGTTTTTGGCCAGATAATATAGCAGTGACTTCAGTTGCCCTTACACTGAGTAGATTCAGGCAGAATCTTACCATGAGGCTGGGAGTTGGGGGGGTGGGGGTGTCTTAGGCAACTGAGCACCAGGAATGCCTGATTTGCTGTATCTCTCCCCTGCATCTCCAAAGGGACCCGGCAGCTCTACAGCACAGATTTATTTTTTGCATGACTTGCTGTCTGAGATCCTTGGAGCCACAGCCTTAGAGAAAGGATATCCCCAAAAATTGTCTATGCTGATCATCCGTCCCATCATGTTGTGGTTACAAGCATCCTGAGGAGCCAGGCATTCCATAAACAGCTGACTTTGTCTGATGAGCCCCAGGGGTAAAAAGCACTGCATGAAATCCTATAAATGACAAATGTCAGGGTAAAAAGTACTGCAGCATTGCCTTCTCCCGTTCTTAATGTTATCGTATGGTAGGGGTGCAAAGATGCCTCTGTGGCTTCCTCCCTGTGTCCAGGGGGTGTGAGCCTCCCTCTTTTAGGCCTCTCCTGTCAAGCAGGAGCAGCCTCTGTGCAATGTGTCTGGAGCAGGATCTTGGCTTCCCACTTCAGATGCAGAAATAGCTTGCACTGTGTTTTCGTCACAAGTAAAATTTCTAGGTGTCAAAGTTAGACTGTTAATCTGGGAATCCTTAAATCACAAGTTTGATGATGCGAGGAGGAAAGAGACTAGGTCAGAAAAACAGCATTATTAGCCTTAAAGGATCCAGTAGGTGATTAATGTGAAATATGGCAAGCACCTGCCTTTGAGATACCTGGGTTTTTACCAAGTGTCTGGTGCCATTTCCACAAAGGGCACTGGCCCTGCCAACAAGTGAGAAGAAAGCCAGAATGTTAGCAAGGGGGCTTTGTGCTGTTAGGAGCTTCCCCTCTTTCTGAGAGCTTCTAGAAGAGGAACAGGATCTAAATACGCTCTTGCATGGAGTAGGAAGAATTGGACAGTTCTCACACAAAAGAGATGTTAAGAAGCAGAACTCCTGATGTTCTGTAGTGGGACTAGAGACTTGTTTATAAATTATTTACAGCTAGGAATGAGCAGTGAGGTGTCTGTGTTGACAAGAAATGCCAAGTTAATATAAGCTGATAAAAATTTAAAAAAGGATTATGAAGCTCTCCAAAACGACCACTTCAATCGGGGGAACAGGCATTAAAGTAGCAGTTGTAGTTCAACATAAGTGTAAAGTGATGCACACAAAGGCAACAATTCTGACTTCACATCCACACTGATGGAAGGTGGAGGTGGCGAGGAACAAATCAAGAAAGGGACCGTGGTACTGTAGTGCACAATTCAATTAAAATGTTTATCAAATGTACTGCAGTTGCAAAAAAGGTATCTTCCCTGGGATCATTAGGAAAGAGAGCAAGCATAAAACTCTCAATATTATACAGTACAGTATTGTCCTTTTGCTAAATTATAACACAACCATTATTTCTTGTAAAAAATAATACTGTGCAGTGCTGGAAGAGTTGCAGCAAAAGACCACTGAAATGTTAAATGAACTGGAGCATCCCCTCTATATAAAAAGGCGAGTTGCTCCCCTTTGTCTTATGTTTAATAAAAAGACAAGTTGGGTGATATGACAAAGTTACATAAAACAGTGGTTCCCAACCTTGGGTAACGAGGTGTTCTTGGACTGCAGTTCCCAGAAATCCCTGCTAGCACAGCTAGTGATGTAGGCTTATGGGAATTACAGTCCAAGGAAACCTGAGCTGCCCAAGGTTAGGAACCACTGCTTTGAAACAATATATGGTGTGGAAAATGAGGACAGAGCGGTTTTCTTTTTCTCTCATCGTGCTAGATAATTACAGTCCAAGGAAACCTGAGCTGCCCGAGGTTAGGAACCACTGCTATGAAACAATGTATGGTGTGGAAAATGAGGACAGCAGTTTTCTTTTCCTCTCATCGTGCTAGAACTCAGTGGGGTCAGTTAATGAAATGGGATAGAGGGAGATTTATAACAGTCAAAAGAAAGAGCTTCTTTACAACAGCAGCATAGTGAAAAGAGACCATTCATTTCCATTGAATATCATAATGGTTTCTATCTAGACTGCTCTGAGAAGGGGACTGAAAAAATGGAGGATAACACCCAGCTACTGGGAAAAAAACACATATAGCATTTCTGTTCTGCTTGTGGATATTTCATAGGCATTTGGTCAGTCACTCTGGGAAAGAGAATGCTTCCCCTCAACAGGTCTAATTTGGCAGTGTTCTTCATATGTTCTTAAAAAATAATTACTCCTTTTTTCATTCTGTTTAAGTCATAAAGATCAAAGAAGAAAACCTAAAGCACATAAATAGACAAAAGAAAAATGCATCCAAAAGAAAAAATGTTATTTTAAAAACATGGTATGTCTTATATGGTAAAGAACAGACAGACTCCAGATTGTGTAACTGTATAAAATTTTAATAGAAAGTCAGCTATAAAAGAACCACTCCTCTTTCCCAGCCCATAGTACTCTTCAGGAGCGGTGCCTGGACTTTGGTAGGCTGGTTGGCAGCTGGGGCAGGATAGCCAAGATGCACGTGGCAGGGGTGGTGGTGGAATGGCACAGCCAAAGGTGCCTGATCCTGGTCTCGGTTGGCTGCTGTCTGTAGCAAAAATCACAGTGGCCTGAAAGGGATGTGGGGCGTGTCTCACGTCAGGGCCATCACACCAGGCTACAGCAATAGGGCAGAGGCTCCTATACTCTTCTTGTCCCTCTTGGCCTTGGCATCAGCAATGGACCTCTCCCCAAGCCCCAGTTCTTCTTAGAATCTCTATGCTGCTGAGAATTCAAGTCAAGTCCCTTTCCTGTGGGAGGAAAAGGCCAAGGCCATGGCTGGGAAGGTGGCTGAACAGCACTGGCCACAATTCATTCTGCTCTGCTCACGCAGGTCTCGACTCTGGGGTGGGAGAGTAAGTTGGCTACCTTGGCTGGTTGAAGTGCAGGGCAGTCATGTTGCTGGAGCGGTGTGGGCTCGTGCGCCGGATAAGAGGGGCTGAGGCAGAGTTGATGGCCAGTCCATGCATGTCCATGCGATTTAGGGGGGCCGGCGCAGCTGGGAACGGGAAGCTGTTGTACATGTGGCTGGACGCTTTCCCGGTATGAGAGAGGCAGCTCAAGGAGCCGGTGCTCATGTACAAGGGCCTCCTGCTGACAGGGCTGCCTGGAAAAGAAGCAAGGTGAGGCAAAAAGCATGGCATGGAGACTCAAGTCTCGGAGATCCTGCCTTTGCTAGAACTGGGAAGGTATCAAGGCAGTGTGATGGTGCTCAGGCATCTGGGAGAATCTCAGGATTTGGTGTAGTGAAAGAGAGGTGAAAAAGCTTGGCTGTAGTTGTGCCCCTCAATTTCTGAGTAGCCAGGTAACCTTTTGGCACCACTGCCAGAATACGAGTCTGCCCTGTTGCCATTACAGGACAGCTGTGGCTCACAATGAAATAGATGCCCTACTGCAGCGCAGCAGAGAAAGCCGTTCACCCGCCCCATGCCTGAGGACCACTGTGCCTCCACAACTCTTTCTCCTGATACTTACTGCCTTCCAGCTTGCTCTTGGCACTGGCAAAGCGTCTCCCTCCTGTCTTCAGCATCTGGGCAAGAGTGCAGGGCTCTCCCACCATGGCAGTACCCAGCCAGCTCATGTTCTTGGGTGGCTGGAGGTGGAGTTGTGGTTTCAGGTGTGATGGGTAGGAGGACTCTCGGGAAGGGCCTAGGCCTGACAGAGCACCCAGGATGGTGGGAATGAAGCCTTGGTTACCCAGCAACTGGACACGTGCACTGGGTTGCTGCAGGATATGCTGCCCAAACTCCTGGACAGAGCCCCCTAGGAGGGAGAGGGGGACGAGGGTCATCAGATTCTGGGGTTCACGGTTATGAAACATATCCTGGAGGAAGTGTGGCTGGAAGAAAAAAGCAGCAGGTTGAAGTCTGAAGTGGCCCACCTGAGTTGCCTATTAGTCAAGAGATTCCGCTCCCCATTCGCTTCCTGCTTCTCTGCCCACTGGGGGTTACACAGTTCCTGGAACCATTTTTAATGCTCCTCTAAGAAAGAATATTCTCCTCTCTCAAGGGGTGTACGCATCTCCAAAGTAAACATTAAGCATTTCTGCAGCACTGGGGACATACAACCATTTGCCTATAAGAGGAGGCACAAGATTCCTGCTTTGCAAGTTGGAAACAGAAGTCAGGACAAATTCCACAGCAGGGGTGGACGACGAACACATGTCTCCCAGCTATCTGCAAGATCAGCATTCTTCCTTCTGGAAGATCATACTGGCTCCCAAGCCGCCTCTGCAATGTAATACTCTCTCACTCCATGGCATTTCAAGGTCTCAACCCACAGTCCACCTACCTGACTTTCAGAGATGTTGATGTGGGGCCTCTGGATTTCCATTGGTCTTGGCTCTGTGTGACGGAGCAGGCGGGTGAGCTGGTCGACAATGCCAAGCCCTCGGATTAGGTTTTCACGCCGCAGAAGGGCTTTGACTCGCTCTACTTCCTCCTCCTCTACAATAGCTTGGGGACTCATGCTGTCATATGGCAAGGAGGGCATCTGGGGAAGGAAACTGCTTAGGTCAACTTTGGGCATAGATCATGGGTGCATAAGGCCTATTCACTCCTCTTAAAGACTGGTAGGTAGCTTGAGAGTTGGTATTCATGTGTAGTCTTACATAAAATAAAAAGTTTAACAGAACTACAGAAAAATCCTCCTCTCCATCAGTCAAGCAAAAGCAAACCTGCCAGCATCAGAAGGCAAAAATGGGTGCTCTTGTGCTCCAACTTCAACCTCTGGGCAATGCTCTGGTCCTCAGTTTGTATCATACTGGAACGGTTAGCCAGCTCCTTTATCAGTCACACTCGGCAAGGCAAAAAGGGCATCTCTCTTATTCCTAAGACTTGCTGGCTCTGTACTGTCTAAAGAATTCTCAGGGTAGCAGAAAGCTCCAGGAAGCAGAAGAAAAGGGTCGCAATGGTCTCTGCTTCAGCAAGGATAATTTGTGTCTGTCTGCAGGCACAAGGCCAGCAACTCAACTTAGCAGAACTCTTTCTTGAAACCTCAGGTTTCAGCAAAAAGGAACCAACCAGCCAGACCTCTTTTTTATTGCTGGAGGAGAATAATCTGAAAACATGTAAGCAATGCCAGGCAAAAGGGACAGAGATATCCAAAGAGAGATATCCAAAGAGGGAGGCTTTAGTACCATTCAAGGCTTCTTTCTCCATGACAAGCAGCAAGAGAGTTCATCCTGTACATGCAGAACTACACAAACCCACAAAACATTGCCCACGTTTGGAGCAACAGAAAAGCTGATGGTAAAGAACAGGGTATCTTGGCCTAGAACTGCTCCCCCTTGGCATCAGGGAGGGGGAAGAGAGAGAATGAGAATGGCAGCCAACAGATTGTTCTCCTGAGGGAACCTACTACGAGGTACCTTTGGATTCCAAGTTTTGCTGTGGCTGTACGCTATGCGAGTGAGGGAAGATTTGCCCCTGTTTTTCTCATGGGATTTCTCTCCTGCAGATTCTCCTTGCAAATTCTCTTTCACTTCCCTTTTCTTCTTTCCAGCAGTGTTTTCCCTCTGTTCCTGCTTCTGGCGAATCTCCTCCAGTTGTTGCCTAAAAGAGAACAAGTTGTCATGATGGGCTGTGAGATGATGTTTCCTTCCTGTGTACCTGTTTTCAACATGCCAGGGGCAGAAGCCCAGTGCCCTTCCCAGATACCTGGCACACTCCTCTCTAGCCTTGGAGGCAACTGTTTCTTGAAAGAGGGATCCACTGTGCTTGAAGAAGGGGGCATACTTTTCTGTACCACGTGCTGGAAAAATGCGCCGGTAACCACCCAGGTGGCTGTTCTCATATTGTTCTGCTTGGGCCAGCCAGGCAGCCTGGCTATTCTCCATCTGTTCTCGCCTAGAACACAAGAAAGGTCAGGGGTGGCAGCAGCCACAGGGGATACATTCTGGGGGAGAAAAACATGTAGGACACAGTGCTCTACCTGGGAGATTCTCACATAGGGCAAGAGCCTTGCCTGCATTTTCCTGCACCTTGAACAGGCATTGCCTAGTGAACTGCTATTTCCAAGACAACCAGCTACTCAGGACCAGGACTCGGCCCTCCCAGCACTATTTCAAAAGAACCAAGTGGGTTGTCATTTTTCTGCTTGTACCATTTCTTCTCAGTGGAATCTGAAGAGTGAAAATGCTGGTATGAGAAGGCAGATGTCTAGTGGTACCTTCCGGAGGCAGAACATCCTGGCAGGTGGTCGCTTCCAGTAAGTTAAAATGCCTACAAGGCCCAGAGGAGGACTTCAACCTGGGCTTCTGCCTGGCAGTACCTGGTTTCACGAGGTGGCTGGTGGACTTGGAGAAGACGCTCCTTCACACGTCTCTTGTCCTCCTCCAGGACCTTCTTCTTGTCACAGGCACGCAAGTTGATGAGATTGAGTGCATCACAGAGCAGGGCGTCCTTGACTTCACGGTCCAGCCTTGAGTCTGTGGTAAAGCTGGGTGAGTGGTTGACCTGAAGGAACAAGAACACCTGAGCCCAAGTGATACTCTTCTGCACACATAGCTTCTTGTACACTGAATGTTCTAGCATTAACCACTGAAGCCTCTGGGTTGCAAGGTCAGAAGACCTGCAGTCGTAAGATCGAATCCACGCAACGGAGCGAGCCCCCCGTCGCTTGTCCCAGCTCCTGCCAACCTAGTGGTTCGAAAGCATGCAAAATGCAAAAATGTGAGTAAATAAATAGGTACCATCTCAGTGGGAAGGTAAACGGCGTTCCATGTCTAGTCACGCTGGCCATGTGACTATGGAGGATTGTCTGCGGACAAAACGCTAGCTCTATGGGTTGGAAACAGAGATGAGCACTGCCGCCTAGAGTCGGACACAACTGGACAAAACTGTCAAGGGGAACCTTTACCTTTACCTACACTCTCAAAGTCAATGAAGACTATTCTGATGTTTGTATTTAAAGCAAAATGATTTGTTAAAGCTATGTTTAGGGTACGGGGAAGAAGAAAATGCAGGTTGAGTATGTAGATCCAAACTAGGTGCTTCAGATAGAAGGAGACTGTTACTTTGAGACCTCAAGTGGTAAAACCTGGATGATTTCTGCCTAGGATTTTAATGCTGGTTGGAAGGGTGGTGGTAGTTTGAAATTAGTCGCCTCTCAGCATGGCCAATATTGATTCAAGCTGGCTGTTTACATCACTTTTACCCAAATAGCATTTGTTGCATCCTACTTTTAAGATGTAAAGGTGCACATGTTACAGCAAATGTACAGCTGGGGGTGGGGGTAGCCTACAAGGGAAACAAGACCTTGATCAGGAGAGAAGCCTGGAAGGCATCTGGGTATCTCATCTTTGGGGAATGCTCTAGGGAGAATTTGCATCATCTTCCTCCCAGATCCTATTTCACATTGACAGATTCCCCCTTACCTCCAGCAACCAAGGTTTGAGCTTCCTGTCAAGGAGGATGTCAAAGCCAAGGATTTCAAAGCAGGCACAGCCCGAAATATGATTAGGAAAACAGGTGCGGTAATTATGTTTCAGTACAGGGTGGGCAGCAATTAGGGTTTTGATGATGATGTCCTCAATGTCCCGCCACAGCTCAGCTGTGTCGTAGTTGTGCTCGCGCATCCAGGTATTCAGTGTGGATAGCTTTCTGTTGGGATCAGAAGGGGAGAGTAGGCAGGAGCTGCAGTGATGGCAAGGCCAGACTCTGCCACTAACAAGGGATAAACTCTGGCCCTGCCATCCACAAGCAGAGAGCAAAGTCGGACAACTGACACAGTCGATTATATCCTCTTTCTATCCTCATTTCAATGGAGCTTCTTCCCAAACAAGTGTCCTTAGGGTTGAGGTCTAAGGACACATTAAAACTCATATGTAGAAGGATGTGTCACGATGGCTGTACAATGAAGCCATATGACACCAAGAATCCATTTAATTCAATTCCATGTCCCTACTGGTTTTTTTGTAACCTGCAACCCTTTTTAGCCAGAGGGCTGCCAAGAACTGACCTGGCATGGACCTTGTACATGTGAAACTGAAGTTCTGCCACTGAGATATTGTTCTTGCCTTCAAGAACAATACAATGAATGAAATCCTCTTAGTGTAAAAATTGCTGCTGGGTTGCCACCACTGGGATTGGGTCTGCTGGTGATGATTTTTGGCTACTAAAGGCACCCCAGTCCTGCTGCTCCCAAAGGCTTCTTCAGGTCAAAAAGGAGCATCAGAACCTCAAGGAGGGTGGTAGGAAGGTTTCAGTCAATTAAAATTACATATTACTATTGCTGGATGATGACATCATCTTACTTGCATGGCATAAAGTTGTACAAGAGGATTTCAGCCTATGATTTTTCATAATCCTCTCACTCTCAGCAGACAAACTGTCAGGTATTTCGCTTACAGAATCAGCTCATTTTGCATATGGTTTATGGGCAAATCTCTGCATTTTTAGCAAACTGAGAAGCAGAACTGTACTCCTCCCCCCCCCTTGCCAGCTTGTTCGACTTGCCATCTAATCTACCTCACATGATCCCACACAGAAGACAGAACTCTGCCCCAGTAATGGATTGGCAGACACGGTACCTCTTACTGCCTGTGTTGTCATCACGTACAAAGTTCTCATTATGCTTGTTGATGGCGTAGTTGGTCAGATGCATGCAGATATCATCCTGTGTGAGAGACAGCAGGAGTATTCACTCCCCCACTCCTTCAGGTCCCCTTCTTTGACCAGCAGCATCCAAATCCTGCTTCCCACAGCAGTGTGTACTCACAGCCATTGCTTTACAGCATGTCAAAGCAATGATCTATTTATGCAGCATTTCCAAGTGGAAGCAACTTTGTATGTCTGGAGACTAAACCTGGGGTGACTTTTAACATGGAAATTACCACCCACCATATGAGAATGACTCGAGTTGCCAGGAGCCTCAAGAGGCACAAGCAACTTATTATCCTACAAAGCATATGCCAGTTCCTGGGAAACATCCCTTCTTTACCAGGTTGCCGCTGCTGGGCTCGATGTACCTCATGGTGGCAAAGCGTGCCAGCCCCTCCTCATAAACAAAGATCTTCAGCGGGTCACAGGAGGTAATCAGGACATAGATGCGCATGTCAAATTTGAAGCCATCAATTAGGAAGGGCTGCAAGGAGATGAACCAAGTGAGGAGGGAAGGGTGCAAGGAGCCCTTCCCCAGGCAGCTGGCTTGCTCAGGAGCCTTGCAGTGAATGTCCCCCATGAAACCAACTTTCTCTGTGGGCACGGCATCACCTCTGTGTTCTACTGTAACTGTGGCCAGGGTAAACTAGGCGAAGTATTCAGATACCCAACTCACCTTGGCTATGTACTGCTGGCAGATCATGTGCTCGCCATGCTTGATCTCCTTAGGATTACGTGTAATGAAGATGCCTCGACCTTGGCAGCCACTGTCTGGCTTGCAGATGTAGGTTCTGTTTTTTCTCATGCGCCCATAGGCTTGGAAGTCCCCATAGCTGTGCCGAGACAACAGAGTTGCAGGTGGGCAAACACTCAAGACATCACCCTTCCAGCCCTGCACTGCCTAGACCAACTTCTCCTAAGCCAACAATAAGAATTGTTCTTGATATAAAATGAGGAGGGGAAATGAGACAGAGAAATCACAATTGTAGCCCATCACTTGCCCTCCTTTTTTACCCCACTTAGGCCAGAACTGGAAGCTGCCCCTCTTAGCTCTGAAATGCTTTCTGTCACTCACTCTGCTGGTAGGCACCAAGTACGGGGGAAGATGCTGTACTCTTTGGGGAAGAGCTTGAGCATGCGGTTGAGGTTACGTGCAAGGAGGTCCTTGCGACAGATCTCTGCCATGCCAGGAAAGTGGTTGATTTTCTGAAATAAGGCAAGAGGAGGAGACATTCCTGTAGCTTTGGGAAGGGATGCATGTCAGCAAATGTCCTTGTGAGTATCTCTAAGTCTTACTTTTATATATTTAGGAGTTAACCCACCCTCTAACCTTATTACAAGATCTTCAAGGCATCTCCCATATTAAAACAGAATATAAATAGTATAAAACATTGATGAAAATTCTAAAAACACAGACACAAAATACTACTGAAGTATGAAACAGAAAAAGCAATCTGAAGTAAAATTAAAATGGAAGAATGAAAACACAAAGGAACCTATCATAGGCAGAGGAAAGCTTTGATCTGAAGATAAATAAGCAATGTAAGTGTCAGCCTAAAGCCTTTGTAATGGGAGTTTGACAGCTGGAGTGCTATCACAGGGTATATCCCTGTGACACCCCCCCCACCTCCAGAGGCAGAGTCACCTGGCAAAAGATATGTAGGTGACAACTTACAACTAAGCTGTTCCATTTTGGATTGTACTCAGTCATATACAGCAAGCCAGGAAACCTGTTCTAACACTGGCAAGATATTCCATATTGCTTTTACAGCATGTTGCAGTAATCCAATCTGGATGTGCCAAGGGTACTGCTATGTTTGGCAAGCTATTTTAGTCCCACAAGCTAGCCCTAGTTCATAGCTTTCTCTGTGATGCTCAAATCAGAGCAAGGCAGTGGAGGCACAGGTCCCTGACAGGGGCAAAGAGGTAGATGGTCTAGGACTATCTCTGTTCAACAGCAGGAGGTCCTCCCTCCAGATAGTTGCACGGATCATCAAAATTACACAAGGGCTCTTCTGAGCAGCCAAAAGATCACAGACTTGCCAGTTAAGGGCACTGTGTGATTTTGCTATCTTTCAGAAATTGTTTGGGATCATCCTATTTTATATGCTAACACATTTCCCAATTACAGCTCCTTCATTCCTACTTCTACTGCAGGTACCTGAAACCTCTTCATTTCCATGACACGCTCCAGGGAGACTGAGCAGTCAGTCCAGTAAACAGTCCATTCTTCGTCCTCCCCCACTTCTTTTAGACCACAGCGCCGAGCAGCACGCCTAACTGCAGTAAAATAAGCAAAGGGCCAAGGATCACAAAAGTTACTTGGATCACATCTAGGCCAGGCCTCCAGCGGGGTGGGGTAGCACTACATCCACCTATGCAGCAGGAATCACCCTTCTGGCAATACAACAATCCTTTAAGAATTACCAGCACTGATGTGGGAAATCAAGCTCTCAAGCTGCAAGAGAAAGCCACTAAGAAGGAGCTGTAACTTACCACTCTCATATTTGCAGTTGGCCAAGTTGATAGACAGCAGCCTAGAATCAAGATGAAAGCAGCAATTCAGTGGCTGTGTGGAGAGAGACACTCTGTGAGCCAGAGTGCAGATTGGTATGGAAAGCAGTGACTGTTTGGCATGGGAAATACCTACAAAATATGGAGTCTAACAAGGAAACCTCAAGGCTATGGCGACTAACCCATGTGGGTTTTGGATGCAGAACATATTGTGATTCATGAGCCAGAAAAGAGACCTGTGAGAACGTGGAGTGGATTCCCTTACATAGACATTAAATGTGTTCCCCTCACCAACGGTTCACTTGGAAAGATGACCCACCTGTGCTTTTTCTTTTTTCTTTGCCTTAATTCCTCTGGTTCACATTCTTCTGCAGTTTGTTCTTCCAGATCTATCAGAGAGACACTTGACTGGTCGCTCTTCTTGCCTGCCTGCCTATTGACTCTGTGCCCTCCGCTCAGGACTTGTTCCTGGTCCTGAGAGCTGTTGTGCTGAGACAGTTTATTCTCTGCCTCCAGACTCTTAAGACATTCATTTGCAGACTCATCTGACAGACCTCCTCCTCCGTCCTCCTCCTCTGCATCATCATCTTCATCAGTTCCATCCTCAGACCCACTGCTTTCATCTGTGCTGATCTTCATTTTCTCAGGCAGTCTTGCAAAGAACACAAAAGAAAGTGTCAGCAGAACTTGTCACTGCAGCATTCCTTAGGAATTGCCAATAATGAAATAAAAGCACACTTGTCTGCTTTACACTTATTTCCCTTCACATTCTTGTTTTGATGCTTTGAATTCTCTTATGCTAATTTGAACTTTTTATTAGCCACACTAGCAACAAGTGGAATGGTAAGGTACAAACCTCTCAAGTAAAATAAATAAACATAGAGTGCCCTCTGTATTGTCTTCTCCCCAACCTGCCCTAGCCACAGTAAGCTGCCTGTGCCCACCCCGTTTCCATGTACTTCCTGACAGGCTTTCTCACTGCATCTACTCCTCATCCATAACAGTGACTTTTCATGTTCTCTAGGGCTGCTCTCAAGAGGGATCCTTGCTGCTGACTGAGCTTATAACAACATGGCATCCTGCTGCTGAGTTGCTGTCTTAAAAATTATAGGTCAGAAAGAGGGAATTGTAAGTCCCAGTTTGTAGAAAATACAATGTCCTTTTTTTCAGTGTAAAATGCCTGACGAGTTTTGGCACATCACCCTTCCTCAAGGGCGTATCTATTAAACTCTTTCTTTTTCTTTCTTTCTTTCTTTCTTTCTTTCTTTCTTTCTTTCTTTCTTTCTTTCTTTCTTTATTTATTTATATTTAAATAAATAAATAAAATAAATAAAACCCTAATTATCTCCTTCTGTTTATTCCGTCTGTAACCAGCTCCTTAAAATCAATCAATTAATGCCCGACACGCATCAGGCGTTTTACACGGAAATAAAGAACATTATATTTTCTCCATCCTGGGGCCACATTCTCCTCTTTTTGACCTAAGTTCCTTTCGTTGTTTTATTTCCCAAATTACCAGGCAAGGTCTAGCAGATCAGCAGCCCAGGAGGCGCTCAGTTTGAGAACCGGATTATCTGTAGACTCAAAAGCAACAAGACAGGAGGGGCGAGAGGGAGAGCAGCTGAGCCGAGACTACGACTTCAGCGAGGCCGCCGAATGAAGGTTCCTGCTTTAGCAGTGCTACTCGGCCAGTATGTACTTTACAAGGCTGTCCATCTTGCCCATGAAGAGCCACGCTTTCTCTCTGTGAAAGGGGTCCCTAAAGCGGATCCATTGCCCGGAGGTGGAAAGTGGGAATGCCAAGAACTCCAAGAGGGGCCGAGCAGGCCTACTCAGCCTTGCTTCCCGGGCCCGTAAGGCGGGCACCTCGCGGCACTTTTCCTCGCCTTCGCCCCTCACCGGGCCCCGCGGCTTGCCCCGGGGCGACGGCGGCGCCTGGGCCTCGGGCTCCCTCAAGCCCTGACGCCGTCACCATGCCGACGACGGGCCCCGCCCCCTGGTGGGCGGAGCCGAGACGCGGCCACCGTAAAGTGCTCTCAGGGATGGCGGCGCCTCCAAACTCCGTCACACCCGTGGAACCTCATCAGCCGGCGACCGGCTCTTTGTGACCTGGCTTGGGGGGGGGCTCAGGGGCGGTCGGCCCGCGCGGCGCGGCTGATTTGAACGGAGAAGAAGGCCGGGTATTTGTCCCGAGGCTCAGTTCCCCGCTGGGCCTCCCAGAACGGCCGGCCTGGGTGACCTTGGGCAAGGTGAACAGTCCCAGGGCAGGCCCAGAAGTGGGGAATGGGAAACCACTTCTGAGTACCGTAGTCTGTCTAGAATGCACTGAAACATATTATTTTAATGAAGGAACCATTGCTGACTGACCCTTAATAGCACATTTTGAATGATGTCCTTCAGAAGTGCTTTTTGTTGTTGTTTTAAAATTGTCGCCTATCTAGCTTGTGCGTAAAAAAAAAACAGTATAGTATTTCATAACAATGAAATATGTGGAAAAATGTTTGTCCTAGAATAGGGCTGGGCAATTAATTTCTATAGGAGGGCTGCATGAAAAATCTGAACTGTGTTTGGGGGCCGAACCAACTTTACTTAAAAATAAAATGAAACAGTGATGTTATGATTGTTTTTATTTTAAACTTGTTAATCTTCACAAATACTAAAGAGGTTTTTGGCGGTATGTTAAAGATAAGCAACTGATCAACTTTAGACAAAAAGCTCTAAATGGTTTTGATGTTCAAAACTGTCCGCGGGCTAGACAGGAGCGGCTCACGGGCCGTATGTGACCCTCGGGCCGCACTTTGCCCAGGTCTGTCCTAGAACATAGTCTAGAGATGTTTCCAAATAAATATCCATGTATTTCCAATAGCTATACAAGAAGCTAAACGCCAATAACTTCAATTCTTTCTCTTACATGTCTATCCATGGAAGTACACTCAACTGGTTTTCCTACACAGCTTTGAAGTCCCAATTCCTTAACATGTAAAAGTTCCATTCAAATGTTGTACAGTTTAACAGATTTCCTTGTCCAGCTTAAAGCTGTTTTCAGTTAGCAAAACAGAGTGAAAAACATAACATCGCGCTGCCAGATTTCTCAACAGTACAGACAGTGCCATCAAAACTTTGGAACTGCATAACATACCTGGGGGTGGGGAAGCTTTGGGAGATCCCTCAGAGGCTATGGCTATAAAGGGCTATGTACTGGGAGAAGCTAACTAATTTGAGGGGAGAGAGATATTGTCCCTGAGGGTGGACTGTGGCACTGGGAAACCAGGACTGAATTTGTTGATTGGATTTATGGATTAATGGAAGGAACATGTGGTGGATTATAAGGACACCTACTGGAGGGAAAACTGAATGACAGCCTCAACACACCTCATTGCCTAAGGAGCAGGTTGGATTACAAATACTGTATGTGAGGTTGGCAGGCATTCCTTGGACTTCATGGCAACTTGGCAGGGAAGCAATGTTCCATGGGGGTGGACTAATTAGATGAAATTGTGGCATCTGATTTGATATGTGGAAAGCCTTTTGGGATTCTGGAACATCGCACTGAGATTGGAACTGTAGAAATATTGAAGTGGAAAAGCCTGAAATTTTTCCTAGCTTTGATTTGATATGTGGAATGCTGTTTGGGATTCTAGAACATCATATTGAGGGTGGAACTGTACAAAGTATTGAGGTCTGAAAGCCTGTGATTGTTGTTAGCTTGGATTTTCTCTTTGGATTGTGTGGGACTCTGGTAATAGAGGTCGAGAGACATAATCACTCTGCTAGGCTTCTTGAGAAGAAGGAACATTTTGCCATGGTTGTATTTTAAACTGTTGGGCTAAAAGCTGATTTACATAATACCTGTGTAAGGATTAGAGGAAGAACCTGGGGGAGGGTTTGATTACATAATACCTGTGTAAGGATTGGAGGAAGAACCTGGGGGAGGGTTTTGATTGTGGGTTTTGGTTGTTGGATAAAACAGTGGAAACATCTGAAAGAGCACGTGGCATGTTTGAGGGTTGGACATTCTGGTGAAGGGTGTAGTATAACTCATACAAAGTTGATTTAGAGACAGTAGGAGGAAAAACTGAGATACCTGTATTGTCATTGAAAAGTGTAAGGATTGGAGGAAGAACCTGGGGGAGGGTTTTGATTGTGGGTTTTGGTTGTTGGATAAAACAGTGGAAACATCTGAAAGAGCACGTGGCATGTTTGAGGGTTGGACATTCTGGTGAAGGGTGTAGTATAACTCATACAAAGTTGATTTAGAGACAGTAGGAGGAAAAACTGAGATACCTGTATTGTCATTGAAAAGATCGAAATGGCGTAAAAAAAAGCCCCAAATGCCAGGAACCTCTCCTGCCCAGTCTCAGTCTGGGAAAACTAGTGGCACAAGAACCAGACAAAGAATGGCAGACTACAGTACCATGCAAAATTTACTAACAGCAGGCTTTCAAGAAGTAAATGAATGTCTCAGCCAAACAGCAGATGAAAGAGATGACGCTAGATTTCAGATGCCAAACAACAGATAGCTGAAAACAAAACAAAGACAAGATCTTGAAGAAAAAGTGAGAGGAACAGATGCTAGAGTAAATCAAACTGAAGGAACATTAGAGGAAGTGCAGAAGAATAAAAAACAATGATGATAGAGATGGAGAGAGCATCGAAGATGCTTAGATTCCAAAATATGGCAGAAAAAGAAGGGGAGGATCTAGAGATATTAATTAGTAAGGCTTCAGCTGCAGAAATAGAGATGGAAGCAGCCGACTTGCAACAATATATGGAGGCAACTTACAGGGGGTAGTTCAGCATATGCAAGAAGAAATAATCTCTCCAAAGCAATCCACGTGAGATTTATAATGTTCTTTATTTCCATGTAAAAGTTATCTCTAGTTTTTAAAAATAAAAATAAATTAAAACAAAAAGACAAATTTTCTTGTCCAAGACAAGAAGATATATTTGGACTTTCTGATGCAGCTCAGATCATTTGCAGTGGAATGTACCGTATTTTTCACACCATAAGACGCACTTTTCCCCCACAAAACAGGGGCGTGGAAAGTCTGTGCGTCTTATGGAGCGAAAAATACGGTATCTCTGAAATGCTATTTCCTTCAAAATGGCCACTTAAAGTCACAAGTGCCCTGTCCTAGAAGCGTTCCCCCAGTGGCTTTCTAATATGGCTAATATTTTTATGTTGGATATGATGCCATCCATGTATTATTTTGCAGAGACTGGTCTGTTTGTCCTGTGTAGAGATATAGTATGCCATGATGCCATGTAATATATTTGGAGATGAGCAAAGCAACAAATATGCTGCTTATATACTGCCCCATAGCACTTAAAGCACTCTGTGGGTGGTTTGCAATTTAATTATGTAGGCTATACATTGCTCCCCTCCTCCAAAACTGCAGTTTTGGTTGAAATACTGCAATTTAACCACTTTGCCAGGAGGCTCCTATGAGCAGGTATCTGAATTACAATTCTGCAGGATATTCAACTGTATGTCCTGTGACCAAATGAGAAGATAAGCTTTTTAGTGAATGTCCAAGTGTTTGTTAGGTACATTGTGCCCAGTATCCTGTTGCAGAGCTATGCCTACACAACAGGAATGATGTCATCAGCAGCAACACATTCCCACTGTGTAAAGACTTCCTTTTTTGATTTTGTGGTCTGTGTAATTTTATTAAATGTGTCACACAAACACCAAAACCACAAAAGGAATTCTTTAATTAGCAGCAATCTACCACTGATGTCATTCCTGTTGGGCAGGCAAAGCCACACAAGATACGTACAGTTCTGTCTAGGGCCTAGAGTGGTCATTCGACTAGATAGGTGGAGTATAAATACAATAAATAAACAAACATCGGCTTTATCACTGAACAAGTATTTTGTGAATGACCACTCTTAACTATCTCTCACTTTATATTCTGCAGCCCAGTTTCCTCTGATTCGTTTACAGATCCTCTAACCATATACCCGCCAACTGAAGATTACACTTGAATGTTTTTGACTCCCATTTGCAAAAGTTGTAATACATTTGTCAGTTTACACACCTCTTTTTTGCTTCAGAGAGATCTCTCCCAGTTTTCCTGGAATCCAGTATACAGTAGTTGCTTACGGCCAAAGTCTCTTGACAGATTCCTTCTCCAGTAAGAGAAACTGTGTTTTAGCATGCTTTCAGAAGTTACGTATAAGATTAATTGGAACTATGAATAGACTTTAGGGAGCTGAACAGTCTCTGATTTCATCCTGGGTTTGTTACTGTCCCTATCACTAATCTGCCTCACAGGCTGGTTGTAAATTGAATACATGGATAAATGGCATTTCAGTTGTGAATGAAAGGTCAAAGTGAAGAAGAAGCATGAAACGCCTCTCATATTCAGAGACAAATTGGCAGTGGTAGAGTTCAGACATAAAAAGGCCACAACCTTTTCCCCTGCAAAGATGGTCTTGTACCTCTGTTTGCCAGGCAGCCTGGCTCCACCAACGTCCCCTCTAAGAGGGACAAGTACCTCAAAGACAACCCTGAAGAACAGTTGATCCAATTGTATGTGTCCTTTATTGATCATCACCCTTGCATGTTGTTTTGCCATGTCGTCTGTGTGTATGTAGGGTGATGACTTCGCTTTGCCTTTGCTGAACAGACTGTAGCAAAGACAAAACAGCAGCATATTTGAGTTGGCACAATCCAGTGGCAGATCACCCTTTAAGGAGGCTAACTAGGTCACTCTGGAGCCGGGCAAACTGACCATCTGAGAGGAGATATTTCTGAATGATCTCAATTGCAGAAGCCTCTGTCAGGTCCTTGAAATCTTGGGCTGTTTTAATGGGCAAGTGTCCTGCCAACTCACAGAGGGCCACATTGAAGGCAGACTCTTCTTTGGCACCAAAGCAGGCTCTCCGTGGCCAGACAATGATCCGGATCCCAGGGCGAGCCTCTGAATGAATGGGCCCCTCAGGTCTAGCACCCCGGGTTATGAAGAGGTTGTGTGCAATCTCCTTCTTTACCAGATAGTCGGTGACCTGAACAACATAGCGGGTGAGCTTCTCTAACTGCTGCCCCTCGCTGTAGAAGACGAAGCCAGGGGCCGGGACCTCCTGCAGCCGATACAGGCTTGCCTCGGGGAGCAGGGGAACGCAGGGGGCAGTTTCCACCAGCAGCTCCCAGTTCAAGTAAAACCCATGGAGGTGCAAATGATTAACAGAGGCAAAAGCTCCAAGACTGTTGAAACCGATGCGGAAACCCGGGTGGGTGCTGAGGAGGACGGCATCCAAGCCAAAGCGGAGGGCCTCGGGCATGAGGACCTGGGGCAAGGAGAGGGCAGGACTGGGGACGAGGAGGACGTGCCCAAATTCCAGAGGACTGACATTAATCACTACCGAGATGCAAGCAGGGCCAGCTGGAGACGGAGTCCCTCCCAGGCAGGGAGGGCCGCCCCTGCGCATGTAGAACAGCACCTCCATGGGCTGGATCTGGTTGAAATTGAACTGCTGGGGGTCAAAGGGCTGCTGGAGGCTGCGGATCTCCTGGGGTCGCCTCCTCTCGACCCCTCTTTGGATGTTCAGCTGGGCCACAAACCCCACCGTCCCTGGCAGGATCCGGGTCTGCAGGTCTCCCAAGGGGTAGCGGAAAAGTCCCCTCTTCATCCTGTCCTCCCAGCCCGACTGCAGAACTCTGTCGAAAGGCGAGAGGTGGTGGCCGGCCGGCCACTCCACTCCCTGCAGCGCAAAATCCTCCTCCTCATAAGCAAAGACTTCTGGTGGCTGTGATGCGGGGCTTAGAAGGTCCTGGCCGGGGGTGGCCAGCTCCATAGCCATGATGAAGGCCGGCTGGCAAAGGTTCGGGGCTGGTCTGGTCTGAAACAGATCCGAGCAAAGGTAAAAGCTGTGAATGCCTTCTTGGACTCACGAGTCGCTCTTGCTTCTGTTATGGTCCCCACACCACCAGTCGGAAAGCGGCTCACTGGGCAGCCACTCCACACCCGCTCCCCCCCCCCCAGCCTGGCTGATGTTTCAGGGCCAGGGATCGCTTTGCTTCACTTTCGAGTCTTCCACTCCCTTAAAATCTCAAGGTCTCTCGCACCAGATTGATGGCAGGCGGTTCCGCACACAAGCGCCGGTTGCCCGCAGTCCGGATCAAGAGGGAGAAGCCGCGGGGGATCGTCCTTGCTCGGCGTCTCCTCGCTTTCCGGCCGGTGAGCCGGCGGCGCCTG